AATGATAAAAAGGTTTAATATCATGTTCTACAATTTCGACCAGATAACCAAATTCTGAAATCTCGGGCTATGAAGGGTTACCGTCATTATCAAGTTTGTGTATATTGTCGGTCAGTTCAACTGGGTCCGACAAGAACCGATCATATGAATGGTTGGATAGTTTTGCAAAAAAGCAAAACTGGACTAAAACAGTTAAAATCGAATGGTATGGCCAGTCAAAACCAGGTTTAAATATGAGGATTGATAACTTTGTAATATATATTTCTTTTGAAGTATTAATTTGATAATATATGAATGTAGATTAGTGAGATTGTTTTAATATATGTCAAATATATACATAATTTATTTGGTATTAGTGGTTTTCTCACATATTATGTTAAAATCGACTTGAATTGATTGAACCTGATCCGACCAAATATTACATACCAAATAACAAGTTTTATGTGGTAATTGGCCCCAAATATTACATATCAAAAAAATAAGTTTTATATTATGTAGTATTTGTGTTGTAATTGGTCACAAATAACAAATTTTTGCCAAATACTCAGGGATGGCAATGGGTTGGGGGCGGATAGTGCATATCTGTTACCCTACTCAAAATAGTTCGAGTTTTACCTATACCCATACCCACATGTGAAATGAGTAGAAAATCAAAACCATGCCCATACCCGTTCGGGTTTCGGATATCCACGGTTATCCATGGGTAATAATATCTCTTTATAACTTCAACAAATATGTTAACATTCACACGAATTCTCACATTACGTAAGAGGAAAAGTACGACAATAATTCACTAGAATGAAGAAAATTAATTAAAACAACACAATTTCATGAAAATATTATACTTATATGCTAAATATAAAATATGTTAGAGAAAAATAATGATTATATCTAGAGATAATACATATGCATTTGTATAATCGGTCGGGTTCGGATTGGATAGTGAGAAATCCATGCCCACCCATTAACCACAATATTCGGGTTCGGGTTTGACCCGTACCCACTAAATGTCTTTCGGCTTCGGGTTTTATCTTACCCGATTAGGCCGGATTCGGGCGGATATCCACGATTACGGATATTTTTGCCATCCCTACAAATACTCAATCCAAACGAACCCCTTATTTTATTGCATATGACTTATACATTGATATAATGTAAGAGTACAACTAATTTTGTACATTTTGACTAATAAACATATCCATAGAAATACATTAAATAAATAATAAATTAATAAAATTAAAATCTAGTCAATAGAGTATACAATTTCATTGTTTTTTTCACAATGATACGAAATGACTTCTTATATCATGAAAGGTTTTATAAATACATAATAGCTTTTCTTAACTCAAATTTTTTCAATGTGTACAATCAAACAATTATTGATAAATTGGTGATTAGTTAATCCGATTTTGAACATTTCTCTTGAGTAATTTCATAGATTGTTGCTGTAAGCCTGTAACAGATACGTCAATTAAAAATTTTAAAGGCACGTTAGAGATTCTGGTTTTGGAATTTATTGTAGTAGTGTAAAATTTATTTTTCATAAAATTTTTGAATGGAGGTATGGCAATTGACGCATCACACATCTCCCCCTCAATTAGGTCCTCCCTTGTGAATACATGGAGTACTTCTCAACCTTCTTAAAGTGATTTGAAAACACAAGTTAACCATAAGTGATACTTTACAAATCCATTCACTTTTGTATCCATCATAATATAATTGAATACTGTGATTTTTTAAAGGTAAAAGAGATAATGAAAAAAAGACAATTAACTAATGAAAAAAAAGTGCTGAACATGCACTCGAAAGACGAGCAAACCAAAACACAGACCACTATTATTATTATTATTATTGATTGCTCACTCACAACACGAAAACAAACGACATAACAACGACTCAACATCAAAGCATAAAACTAACAAACTCCATAATACCGAATCATTAAACCACACAAAACAAAACACACACACAACCCAAAGACATAACATAACAACACGAAAACAATCGACATAACAACGACTCAATATCAAAAACATAAAACTAACAAACTCAATGATCAATCTACTCCATCTTCTTCACGGCCTCCTCCGCCTTCACCTCCACCTGCACCTCCATTCCCTCCCCTTCCGCCTCACCACCATCACCACCATCCTCGTCCTCCTCGTCGTCGTCCCAATCGCTATCGTCCTCCTCGTCACTCACCTCATCGAAATCTCCAACCACGGACACGACCCCGTGGTCCACCGTGATCTCAACCGTGGTCAGCGGCGGTGCACCATCAATGTCGGCCGCCGCCGCCTCGCCATCAGCGAGAGGAGGAGGGAGGAGGAGGTGGCAGGCCGATTCGACGACCTTTTCGACGATGGCGGGGTCCATCGGGACGGAGAAGAACCCCACGACGTCGCGCAGCAACGGGGCGGCGGTGTCCGCCCTGAGCAGCGGCGCGTGGGGGAGGGTGAAGACGCGGTAATTCATCATGGTGTCCTCGCAGCCGTTTTCGGGCAGGGTCCGGGTCACCATCACCACCACGTTGAGGCGGATCATGTCGTTGTTGCCCGCCGCCGCCGCCATTGGAGAGGAGGAGGACGCCATTGGAGAGGAAGACAAGAGTATTGCTATGTGAAGAATTGCTGTGTGTGTTTGTGTTTGTGTGGCGATGTGTCGAGCTTTACCTTGATAGAGTATTTATAGGGAGAATTATGGTACGTAGAGAAGGAATGAGCTGGCATTTTCATTTTTGAAAAATTGGGATGGAGAAAAAGTTTTAATGTTTTGACTTGTTGTGAAATTTAGTTACCTTTTATTAAGTTGGTATATAGAATGTAGTGTGTATAGATTGATCTTCTTCTCTAGCTATGTGTATAATATTCTTCGTGTTTCTCGATCGATTATCGGTATTTTTAAAGCGCGATTGATTGTTGTTTGTGATGCTTAAATCGCGGTGCATGTGTCACATTATGCGCGTATTATAGTTTGATTATTATTGAATTGTTATTACATGATATTAAAATTACGGTCTTACGGTTTTGTCCGTACTGATGATGACGCGAAATTTGACAGATGCTACAACCGAATATATGAGACCGTTGATAACAATAATTCAACACGCAAAACCTTTCGCGCGTGCCTCAACGGATGTATGAATATAAATTAATTCCCGCGCATAAAATTTGGTTGCCTACGTTTTTTTATAACCTTATGGGATGTAATATGTAGTTTATAAATCTTTCTGCATATAGAATTCTCTGTATATCTCGATCGATTCAGTACCTTTGTTAATCGGTTTTTCAATACTTGATTGTTATCTATATCGGCATTACTTATCGCATTAATACAAGATCGAATTCATACAAACAAAAATTACAACAACTACTTCAAACGAATATAAAACCGTTATGGTTATTACGATAATACGTAAAACCTACTTAGAGTTCCAACAATAAAAATTTATTGAGGGATATATTTGCCATTTAGAAATTAATTTCTAATAGAAAGAAAATTTGAATTTGTCATTATACAAAATGGGAAATAAATATTTTCTTTTTTCTTTTTTGTGACGGTACATTCTATACATAGACCCCATGGATTTTGTTGTCTTGTCTTTCATTCTTAATTTGGATAGACCGGCGTTTTTGTAGGAGTTTTAATGTTTTGTCTTATTTAAATAACAATTTTATCCAAGTTATGTGATATAAATTAGATATATGATTCATTTTATGCCAAAAATGTTTAAAACATATATAGATAGCAAATTTTAGCCAAGAATTATCATATAATCAACTTTTTTCCTTTTAATTTTAAGGTAATATAATCTATACATAATGCATATTTTATAGATTTTCTCGTGTATAAAATTCTTTGTTTTCCTTGATCGATTCACCGGCTTCATTTCTATCGATTATTTGCAATACTAACTTGTTGCTTATATCACCATATGTATTAGGGGTGGCTATACGGTCCGGTCCAGTTAAATTGGCCCAAATTGATCCGGTCCAATCCGGTTTTTTTGAAAATATAAGGATCGAAGATTGGATTGGATACAGTCCGGTCTTGACCCGGTCCGGTCCCAATTCGGTCTTGATTTTATATTGAGATTGTGGGAATTTGAGTGGCCTAAGGCCTAAAAGGGTGAGGAGTTGGTTAAGTTTTGTACTAAGTGCAAAGGTTTGTGACCGTTTATGCAAATTACCCTTAAGTTTTGGGTGTTGAGCTCTCTTATCCGGTCTTTATCCGGGTTTTTACCTCAAATCTAAGCCCAAAGATTCCGGTCCGGTCTCGGTCCGGGTTATACGGTCCGATTTCCGGTTTTTCATCCGGTCCCGGTCCAAATAGCCAGCCCTAATATGTATGCAAATTAGATTTATATATTTGTATTGTGAGTACTAATAGATTTTTGTGTACTAGCACAAAATCTTACAAATGCTCCAGACATACACGAAACCGTTGTAGCAATAGCCCAACACGTAAAATCTATTCGAGTTTCTAAATAAAAATACTCTTGTGTATAGAAATTCGGTATTGTTCCCCGATAAGTTAGTGTTTCTAAATTTTACAACAAATAGAATCCTTCACATGTATTGATCGATTCAATATCTCCGTTAATTTTTTGCACTATGCTTAATAGTTGTCTATATCAATGTTACTTCTCGCATTAACACAAGACTGAATTCCTACGTATCACAAAATAATTCAGTAATAACTACTTCAAACAAACATAAAACCATTTTAAAATAGCATGTATCAACTTCTTTCGAGTTTGAGCTTTCTCCAACAAATACTATCTCGGGATAAATTTTATTATGCTTCCTTATTATGAAATTATTGTTTTGTAATTAAAATAAAATATATGGACAAAACCATAAACAAAATATTTTCTTTATTAAAACAAAAAATTAAATATAACTTAAATATGATTTTTCCAAAAAAAAACTGATAAAATAAATCCTTTGCCGTTGTTTTATCCAATTTGGTCTCTTCTCGCGCGCCTTCCTTGGACTCGCCTTTGTGCTCCTCTCCCTCCTAGTCTTTCTCTCTCTAGAACAGAAAAGGTGATGCGGATGCCAAGTTACCTTTCCCCTTTTCGTATACATTGAATTTAGCAGAAAAAAGAAAAGAAAAGGGTCTATTAATGGATTCCATTCACAGTCACCAAAAATTTCCCCATCTTTCTTCATATGACCTCATCTGACCATTTTCGTCCCTTCTCTGCCCCTTCCCAATCCAAAACGACGCAGGCAATTGGGGAATCGAGATTCCAATAGATAACAAACAAAAACCAGAGAAGAATCAAGGGGGGAAAGAAACCTACTTTGTGAATTTTTTAGGGTTCTTCTGCTTTGAATCGCCCGCAAAAGTTCAGAACTTTGCCTGCTAGATGGGTGAATTGGAGGAGATTGCCGCTGATATATGGTAAGTTGTTCTTCATCCGTTGGAATTTCAATTGGGGTTAGAACTTGTTGTCTCATGCATGCGTATGTGTTGAAAAGTTCGAATCTTTATGATGATTGATACTGGGTTGAGCATCTGTTGTTTAGTTTGGAGTTTTGTTCTGATGAATTCGATGTCGGGAACACTTAGGTTTCATTTGAGAGGTAGATTAAGCTGTTTTGTTGCCTAGGTGATGAACTCAGAAATTGATTGGGTGATAAGATTGTGTTGTGGTTTGGGAGTGGGATTGTTGCTTGTCGGAGATCTTGTGCTTGTAGTTAAGATTTTGCCTTCATGAGTTGCTGCTGTTCGGTTTGGTTTGCGGACGACTGATTGATAGAATTGGCAGCTCGGACATTGATGCTGACGACCTGAAGTGTGACAACATTGCGGAGAAAGATGTCAGCGATGAGGAAATCGACCCTGAAGAGCTCGAGAAACGGATGTGGAAGGATCGAGTCAAGCTCAGGAGGATCAAAGAGAAGCAGAGGATATCAGCACAGCAAGCCTTAGAGAAGCAGCAGAAGCAGCCCAAACAATCATCCGACCAAGCTCGAAGAAAGAAAATGTCTCGAGCGCAAGACGGAATCCTCAAGTACATGTTGAAGCTCATGGAAGTCTGCCAAGCACGGGGATTTGTGTATGGTATAATCCCCGACAAGGGGAAACCTGTGAGTGGAGCATCAGACAACATCCGAGCTTGGTGGAAAGAAAAGGTTAAGTTTGATAAGAATGGGCCTGCAGCAATTGCCAAACACGAGGCAGAGTGTCTGGCGATGATGAACGAGGCGGGTGACAATGCTCGACATGGGAACTCCCAAGCTGTCCTCCAAGATCTCCAGGATGCGACGTTGGGGTCTCTTTTGTCGTCTCTAATGCAACACTGTGATCCACCTCAGAGGAAGTACCCATTGGAGAAGGGAGTTCCACCACCATGGTGGCCCAGTGGGAATGAAGATTGGTGGGGGAAATTAGGGCTACCGAGAGGGCAGAGTCCCCCTTATAAGAAGCCGCACGATCTCAAGAAGATGTGGAAAGTTGGGGTGCTTACTTCGGTCATCAAGCACATGTCACCGGACATTGCTAAGATAAGGAGGCATGTCCGCCAGTCAAAGTGCTTGCAGGATAAGATGACGGCTAAGGAGAGTGCCATTTGGTTGGGAGTATTGAGTCGGGAGGAAGCCCTGGTTCGGCAGCCCAGTAGTGATATTGGTTCCGGGATAACTGAGGCTCCCCCGGGTGGTCGAACTGGGAAGAAGAAAGCTGCGGTAAGTAGTGATAGTGATTACGATGTCGAAGGTGTTGATGATGGTGTTGGTTCTGTGTCGTCTAGAGATAGCAGGAGGAATCATCAGGGTATGGATGTCGAGCCAGTGAGTAGTCCAAGAACGGAGTTTACTGAGCCAGTTAAGGTGAAGGATCAAACAGAAAAACCAAGGAAGAGGAAAAGGATACGAGACAAATCGAAACATGCTGAAGAGCCATCGACGAATGATGATCCTCAGACTATGGTGGTTGAGCAGAGAATAACTAGTTTGCTTGACATGAATCAGGCCGATATAAGGCCTCTTGATCAACATCAGATGCTTGCAACTGACCATAGCAGTCATCATCAGATGCTTGCAACTGACAATGACAGTCATCATCAGATGCTTGCAACTGACCATGAGAGTCATCATCAAATGCTTGCAACTAACCATGACAGTCATCATCAGATGCTTGCAACTGACCTAGAAATTGATCCGAATGCCCATCTTGAGGTTGAACCTAACCTTCCTACAACGGAGTTCAGCAACTACTTGTCTGGAATCCCATCTGGCTTAGATGGAAGGGCTCAACTTTATGATCCATTGGCACAAAATTCAGACTTGTTTCGTCATGGAAGCAGTTATGATTTCTATGCTCCGGCAATTGGCTTTGGGGAACATGCTCCCCTGTCGGTGGATGCACCACATATTAAGCAGGATCACAATGGATTCCAGGTACCAGGAGGACTGCCTATGAACGAAACCGAGATTCCAGGAGGAGGAGGAGGAGACCTGCATAATTTTGCCAAGGATATATTTCCAAGCGGGCAAGATAGATACTTGGGGTCTCCATTCAACAATGTGCCTTTATTTGGAGACTTCAATAGCCCATTCGACTTGGATATCGATGAGGATCTGCTCGGGTGCTTTGGAGCATAAGTTTTGGTTGGAAGTTGACTGCACATTAATTCGATAGGTGCTTCCAATGATGTTGATCATGCGGTATCTGCAGGGAGCACTGACCTTGTAGAGCATGAAGGAACTGTTTCATCTTCAAATTGTAAGTTATGCAATTCATGTTTGATCTTTAAACGCACCTAGTGCTGCAAGAATAAAGAGAGAATTTTCCTACATTTCTAACCCGATATGTCCTCGATGCTAATTTGACCATTGAGGGCTTCTGTTAGTTAGATTAGACTGGATAGATGATAGATGGTCATTGCTTAAATAGTTTCATTACTTTTTCTTCTTTCCCTTTCTGGAGCAGATAGAATATTCAATTACAGCTTCTCGTTGTTTTCTCTACTGCATTGTCTATGAATATCAGACCTGCTGCAATGCCAAAAGAAACCAGACCAAAGTCTTGTTTGAGGTTAATTAGTCTGGTTTTGGTGTATTTGCAAGTGGATGTACCATGCATTTGTAAGATGGAGATGTAAATCGCTCCTGAGACACTTTAGGTAGCATTTTTCTCATAGCTGGTGATCCCCCTTCTGAAATTGCATTGCTTTCTTTGTTCAATTACAGCAAAGTGGTATTTTCCTCCAAATACACCCAACCAAATGATGTCTAAGCCTTCTTACTGCTTACATGCCTACTAAACATCTTGAAGGAATTGTTTCTTAATCTGGTGAGAAACTTGGAGGCTTTCATGTTCTGGTAATTCAGTGGTCTGTAATTCTGCTTTTATCCCACATGGCTCCCCTGCAATTACCGTTGCTACACTGCCAATTTGCCATCATTGCAGTGCAGCTGCCAAGTTGCACAGCCATTCACCCGGCCGCCACATGGCAAATCCGTACGAGAATGTCTGTCTCAAATCCCCCTCGACAACTGTTAAAAAGTTGGCCAATTCTGCCCTTGGCTCATCGTTATGAATCCATTTTTTCACCGAGGATAGAAATGTCTACAGAAGCAGGAATCCCAGGTCTCAGAAATCAGAGCCCCATTCTTTTACCTTATTACCCCCCTCCACTTTGTGTGAAAATCGATCGTCAAGCCTCGTCAATCGTCATTGTTCATATCTCTTAACTCAGCAAATCACATCAGCTCCTGAATATTCCTCTGTTCTCCGTTCTTTCCCCAAGAAGAACCCTTTTTTTCTTTCTACAATGGCGTCTGTCTCCAAGTTCCTAACTTTCATGTCCATTCTGATGATGGTGGCTCTAATCTCACTTGCTCGTAAGCTATCTCTCTCTCTCTCTCTTCACGTTTCCTTTCTTTGTCAGCTTTTGGTGGGTTTTGTTCTTACCATGGAAAGCTTTTCTTCAGGTTTACAAGATGGGGAAACAGTAGAAATCGGAGGAAGCATAGCCAGGGGAGCCAGAAAGGTAAAAGGAACAAACTTTCTGGTGATTCCTTTCAGTGATTCACTTTCTCGTTCATGGGTTTTTCTGGGTTTTCTCTGTTCTGAATCGGGTGGGAACGTTTTCCCTTTGAAATCTCAGGATCTGGGAGGCAAGAAGGTGAAGAAGCTGCCTGGTTTGGTAATGGAGGACTCTGCCCGTGAAGTACCAACGGGACCCGACCCGCTCCACCATCACGGTTACCCACCAAGCCCCTGAAAGAAGAACTCGGGTCGGTTTCAGATTTTCGCCTGATTGTGTAAAGGGTTTGAGTTTTGTCGCCATTGAAGCTTTTCCATAGTTCTATTTTCCATGGATTTTACTGACAAACAGAGAGGAGTACAATTTTGTTTGTTAGGTGGAATTTCTAGGGATTGTAGCTAGAAAAGAACAAGGATTTTTGTCTAAAGGAATGTAGTTATGTCTCTGATCTACAGCTGGAAAACAACACAAGGATTCAAAAAGAGTGTCCTCCGAAAATCTCCATGGTTCTTTAGCTTCGATTGCTTCCCCATGTTGATTCTTTGCAGCCGAATTTTGTTGTGCCTTTGGTTGTTTATATCTTTGATCTTTACGTTCAAAGTGTTGGCTACGTCTCCAAGAAACAAGTAATGGAAACCATCTATGCTTGTCGGGGAAAGCCTTTCATGGTTGTTGTTTCGATTCTTGGCGACAAGAGTACACTCATTGAGTTCCAAATTTAAGTCTACTACTATTCTCTGAGTATTCGTGACGAGAGACGAGAGTATACTAATATATGATATATTCATGGTTAAAATTATACAGTTTTGTATATGAAGATTTATGGTTCAATCTCATTATTGTCATTGTAGAGATATCATCTATGAAAGGTACCAATAAGAATATATAGTATACTAATATATGATATACGTTGTACTTAAATTCATGGTTAAAATTATACAGTTTTGTATATGATGATTTATGGTTCAATCTCATTATCGACATTGTAGAGATATCATCTATGAAAGGTACAAATAAGAATATATATCTTACCTCGTAATTAAATCTAATTGTTATTCGTTAAAATTTTATCTTGAGGTTGACGGTTTTTCTCATCATAGAAATTGTTTTGAATTTGAACATGCTTCGATCCAATACTAGAGTTGGTATGCCAACATTGTACTAGTGTTTTGCTCACTTCTTTCATGCATCACAATTGTTCGATCACAAATATGATCTAATAAGATGTAGATATGTAAAATATTTACGAAAATCCTATCATTCGTAATTTGACTAGCACAAAATGTGCATCTTGTCTTGTAGAGGGAAATGTCTAAATGATATATAAAAACCATGGTTGAAGAAGGTGCTAGGCAAGCGTTGGGGTCTTTCTTATCGCCTAGCATGTCTAAGTGATGCCTAAACGTGTTAAGCGAACGTAGGAATTTTTAGTAAGAAAATAACACTTTTTTTTTACTTTAATCCAATTTCAAATGATAATAATCGTACCTAGCACTCAACAACAAGCAAAATATGGCTTCATTTCCTACAATCACAAGTTTATTAAAGGCGTGGATTGTGGCTACTCCATAGTCAACTATGGTGAATTACAGGGCAGAGGCAGGTCTACCAAGAGTTGGATAATAACTAAAGAAGTCGTGTGTTGTGGTTGATCTGCAGTCGAAAAGCCGGGCAGAGGTCGGTTCGAATGGAGCTGGAGAAGAACTATAAAATTTGTGTAAATTGTGGCTGCTCTACAATTGCAACGCGCAAAAGTGGGACAGAAGGAAAATGGATTGATCGAAAAGGAGAAACCATTGCAATTATGAAAGTTTTGAGTCTTTGTCTCATTGGCCAAGTACTGTAATTTCAAATCGAGGGAGGAGGAATGAAGGTGTTGGATATAGACCAACTGGAGATGACATCTTGAGAAGATTTGCTATTTTTGTCTACCGAATACCAACACACTTAAGTACACCTCATCTCAATTAATCACGTCTCGTACTATTTAATCATGTCTAACTTTGTCTAGGAGCCGTCTAAACATTATAAACACCTAGCTATTTACCTAAAGACTTAACGAAGAATTACACCTTATTAAACTCATAATCAATCTATATCAAAATGAAGTGTACCAATACCATCCCATCCAAAAGAGTGACGTGTACCATAAACTCCGGTGCCCACTAAGCAAAAGCGAAGATAAAATATCTCAAAAAGCGAGAAATATCATGGCTGACGTGGCAGATATTTCAGTCCCCCCGTCCCTTTTTAAATAATCAAATCCAATTAGGACAAAATCCCCCCTACAGCGCGCAAGCGAAGTCTCCGTCCATTCCCAATCATCGCCAAAAATATCCGGCAACTAGATCTCCGCCGCCCCCCGCCGCCCCATGTCTTCCTCCGCCGCCGTCACCGACGACCAATTCGCGACGCCGACGCTGGATGCCGAGTCATCCGGCATCCTCCAGTTCGTCTCCTCCCACGGCGGGTACGCCTACGTCAGGATGGCCACGCTGGCCGCCACCGGCGACTCCCGGGCGGCGGAGGCCGCCCACGAGATGGCGTGGGAGCAGCTCCACTCGGGACCCTGGCACTCCGTGCTCCCCGTCTGGCGGGACGCCTACTCCATGGCCTGCCTCCTCGTGGCCAGGTTCCACTGCCGGGACGGCGAGTACAAGGAGGCGCTTAGGGTTTTGGACATGGGGCTGATCATGGGCGGAATGCTTCTCCGTGGCGACTTGGATTCCGCTATCCAGATCATCTCGGCGAAATCCAGGGGTGGGGGCGGGGAAAGGGAGGGAGGGAAGTGGAGATTGGTTGAGGATGGGGAGTTTAGTAAGGCGGAGGTGAGGTTTGTTCTCCAACTGTTCGATTGTTTGCCTGAGAGAGAAAATGAGAAGAAATGGTTAAATTCAGCGGTTTTTTTTAAGTTCTGAGTGTTGAATTTTTTTTCCCCAGGTGCTTCGTGTTTTGCCTGTGAAATCATTGACTGGCAAGCTTGTGGCGAAGAGATCGGGTCTCTCGCTGGAAGGGTTTCTCCGGGATCATTTCTTAGCTGGATCGCCGGTTATCATCAGCGATGGTATGGCTCACTGGCCCGCCAGCAGAAAGTGGAACGACGTTGATTATCTGAGAAGGGTGGCCGGCGATAGGACGGTTCCAGTTGAGGTCAATACCCCTTCTTTCTTTCTTCCCTCACAAGTTAGAACGTATCACAGTTTTGATTTTGTTGCTGCTTACACATTTGCAAAGGAAATTACCTAAATTCTTGAGTCTTAAGTTCAAAATGGTTTAAAGGGTTTTTGTGCTGCTATGTAGAGGAACCTCTAGAGGGAATGGTAGGATGAATTTTGAACCTGAACAATGGGGATCTTGGGTGTCAAGTTGATGAATTTCTGTGAAGTTTGGTTCGAAATGCGCTTGATATAGAAACTAACTGGTCATATGGTCCTTCTATCCCAACGGGAAAGAAAAAAAAAACAAGGGAGCTCCATATGTCCAACATATGCCATGGATATTTTTCTTGTATATGTAGCAAGCCAGAGATGTAGTATATCCCAGCAACGAAAACAGGGGGATTGGCAAATGTTTTTGCAGGTTGGGAAGAACTATTTATGCCAGGAGTGGAAGCAAGAGCTGATAACCTTTTCCCAGTTTCTCGAGCGTATTAGCTCTTCCTCTGGTGTCCCCACTTATCTTGCTCAGCACCCATTATTCGACCAGGCATGTTCTTGAATCCTCTTTCACTTCGACGATCCTTGTTGAAGGCCAAATGCTCCCACAATTTGACTTTTAAATTTGTGTCTGAAATGGTTAGATAACTCAACTGCGTAATGATATATGCATCCCGGACTACTGCTGTGCTGGTGGCGGAGAGCTTAGGTCTCTTAATGCTTGGTTTGGCCCTGCTGGCACGGTTACACCTTTGCACCATGATCCTCACCATAACATACTTGCACAGGTATTACTGCAGAGGCTTTGGATTTTCTACTTTGATCAACTTCTTTTAATGCATGCATTCTTCTTAATTGAGCAATGAGTGGAATCAGTGGATTTTTTTGGTTTGTAAAGCTTCTGCAAAGTTTTGTTCTTTTTCTGTTTTGTAAACATGAAATTGGCTTTGCAGGTTGTTGGCAAGAAGTACATCAGGCTTTACTCTGCTTCACTGTCAGATGAACTCTATCCGCATAAGGAAACCATGCTCTACAACTCCAGCCAGGTGATCCCCTGTCTGAGTTTCGACATTCATCCTCTCATCATTTCGACATTCATCCTTGTCCGAACTAATGAATGAATGAATGTGGTCTTTCATTCTAATTCGACAGGTTGATCTCGACAACATAGACGAGAAGCAATTCCCAAAGCTGCATGACCTGGAATTCCTGGACTGCATTCTGGAGGAAGGTGAAATGCTCTACATCCCACCGAAATGGTGGCACTATGTCCGGTCTCTAACAACTAGTCTTTCAGTTAGCTTTTGGTGGAATAACGACTCTGGAAGCTCGTCCATGTCTTCGTAGCAGCAGACACTTTCCGCATCTGGCTCAATTCGGTATGGGGTGGATTGATTAATCAAGTAGTTGCTAATTTCCAGCACCTACAAGCATTTTTTTGCTTTGCTTGGTGGGAAAAGGGAAAGGAGGAGGTTTTGATTTATTATGACGAACTATTACCTCGTGTATAGGGCTATAGCTACATCAATGCTAAGTAATTGCTTGTGGTTTAGGAGGGTCTAGAACAAGTATTAGTGTTACAATTATGAGTATTTCCAGAGTAAACTGGTGTGCAACTCTTTTTTCCCTTTGGTACTGTCTTTCATGGATAATGTTATGCCTTCTAGCTTTGCTTATGTTATGATGAAATTCGGTGCATCAGTAATGGTGTGATCGTGTTTAGCAACAATTGAAAACCGTGACTATAACTATATTATCATCCAGAAACAACACACACTGTCACCCAAGATTCCAGTCCGCTACGCACGACGTTATAACTGCAAAGCCGAGGCTAGCAGGCATGCACCATCAAGTTTGAACAGCTCTAGCAATGCCGAACGCAGCGGCAGAAGCAATGGCACCTATAAGTGCAGTTTGCAAGGCACTGATGAAAGGCCTGCTCCCAGTGAAATGACCCTTTGCGAACCCGAACAGCAGCAACGCTATAAGCGTCACGATGACCGACGCAATCACCGCGTCCTGAGCCCTCGCGATGAACATGTAAGGAACGAGAGGCACCAATCCCCCGATAATGTACGCTATCGCGATCGTCAACGCACTCTGCACCGCTCTTCTTGGATCCGGCTTCTCCAGTCCCAGCTCAAACCTGCATATATATACGCGCACATCACGATCAACACTCACTCGTACTAAACCCTCGAACCAAACCTGTAACATCTAGTTACATCTTAATTTGCACAAGCAGATAGAAGAGTTGCATTCACCAAATCCAGTCGAACATATAATGGGTGTCAGCCTCATCAACGAGATGCCAAAAGTTGATACACAGGACAGCAAGGCAGAACCAAAAGGAAGCAGCTTTATTAGGTAGGGAATTGAGATACGGAATCGAGGTCTTGAGTGGGAAATGAGAGATTCGTTTGGAGATAAAAAATGGTAGTTGCTGAGTGACCACAATCTGCCCACCCGCGACTTTGATTGCCACTACAACAATGGGACAAAGGCAACTCTGAAAGATATGTGCAGCCGCCTGCCTGCCTGCCTGGACCTCGTTCGTTTCGTTGCGCAATCAACGTTAGGCACGACAGTTTCGACCTAATCTACGCGTAAGTCGATCGTTTTCGTGATTCGTTTTGACACATATATTACACATCTAGCAAGTAGCAGCATCACGTAGGGCTCGATAACAATCAATGTGCGGACAGGAACTAAACCTATATAATCAATGTTATGAGCGAATGATGTAAGCACCACCACGCTCTAATCAACTAAGCTAATGGTTGGTTTTCGAGCATATTAGCTCGATAATCAATCGAACTTACGCAAACACTGCACAAATACTACGCCAAATTGACCGCTACCAGGCTGAAACTCGGTATTGAACTTGCTCAAATGCCGGCAAAAACTGAAGTCAAGAAAATGTTGTTGAGATAGCAAAGAGGTAGAGAATTCAGTGTGGAGGAATATACTTACTTCATCATGAAATCAAGCCAAGCTTGAGGCCTCTTACGCAGAGCGGCCACCACCGGCGCGTACTCGTGTGGCTCAATTCCGTATTCCGCCAGGATCTCCGCCACCTCCGCCGCCTCTGCATTTTACCCACCGCAATCAAATAACAAAAAGAGAAAAACAGAGCGAGCAATTCAAGTTCAGACAGAATTCCAATCAGGGGGGACAAAAAGGATTGAAGAACCTGTATCTGGGACGGCGACGATCTCTTCCTGTTCTCTCCTCAATTCCCTGGAGTAATGGTCCGCCTCGCTCCTCGCCGCCAAATACCTATCCGACTCGCCGTAAAAATTTTCCGAAGCGATCGGAATTCAATCCAAAAATTTTCCGAAGCGATCGAATTGTGGAGCAAAACATCGTTATTCGAGTATATAACTCACCCTCCGAGTCCCATGGAGATGGCGCCGGCGGCCACCTCGGCGAGGCCGGCGGTGAGGACGATGGAAGAAGGGGCATTGGCGCCGGACAACCCGGCGGCGAGCGCGAAGGGCACGGTGAGGCCGTCGGAGACGCCGATGATGATGTCGCGGATGACCTCGCCGGCGGTGAAGTGCTTCTCCTTGTGGTGGTTCAGTAAGGTCCGCTTCTCCGGCTCGAGGTTCGCCATGGAAGAAGATCCCGTGAGTGAGAGAGAGGGGAATATGGGCGCGCGAAACTGTGAGGCAGGGGACTACTGAGGCAGAGCAACTGCAGGGGAGAAGAAAGACGGTCGGTGCGCTCTGGAAACTGGCGCTTGTTTTCAGTTTGTGACAAGCGGTGATCGATTTTATATTGTACTGAAACATAGGTAAAAAGACGGAAATACCCCCCACTGTTTTCCTCTGTATTACGATTTTTCGTTAAAAAAATTTAGACGACACTCCGAATTTTTTACATGATTTTCAGTATTGACAAAGGAAATCTAACAATGATGCCTTTGCAATTGTAGAATTACGATTGTGTAATTTTTGATGATTCACCAAGAATATGATCTTAAAAGCCTCATTGGCGTAGCCAGAGATATAATTTAGTGGGGTCCAAACATAACCAAATACGAAGTTTGACTCGATAGTAAAATCATTGTCTCGAAAAGAGGGAGTCCGTGGTTCTAAATTTACTAACCCCACCTTAAAAATCCACCATTTTTAATGTATATTCATTTTCCAAGTGGGGTCCATGGACCCCACAACCCTTAACCTAGCTCCGCCAATAAAAAGCCTTTTTAAATTACAAATGAGAGGCAAGCACTCATTCTCCAATTGTCTGTTTAGAAAGATGAAGAAGTTAGGTAAAGAATAAGTAAGATTTACTCACCCATCTCGCAAATCTTCTACAATAGAAAGCAGACGTAGGCAATACTCATATGCCACTATCCTCGATTCGGTGCGCGATTCATATTATCTTATCATTTACTATTGCATACATATATGTTGTAACGGGAAAAGAAAATACAACATAACGTTTTATATCGATGACATACTCATCGTCAATTCAATATTTGATTCGCAACACATTCGACTCGTTTTATCGTAACGATGTTGTTATCTCGACTCTATACATCATCACTTAGATACAACAAAACTGCCCATCACATGACGAGATCTGATTCATCCTCGGTTCCTGAGCTTGTGGTCAACTTCTCCTCCTCCTAGTTACTCTCTTCTTCTTCGTCATGTGTTTGTTTGTACGATTTTCCATTTCTATATGGTTAATTCCTCGTGGAGAATCTAACGAGGAAGACAAGGAAAGCCGCCAGGCCAAACCTCTTCTTCCCTCAGCCACATCTTATAACATCATCACTAATAGTACTCATCCACATTCCCACAATAAATTCAATACTCTCAACCATTTCATTTCATCACCGCCGACGAAATGGCCCCCGCCGCCGCCGCTGCCGTCGCCGGCAACGAGGGAACCAATAAAGACCACATAGTCCTCATCCCATTCATGGCCCAGGGCCACATCATCCCCTTCCTCGCCCTCGCCCTCCACCTCGAGCAGCGCCGGAACTGCGCCGTCACCCTCGTCAACACCCCTCTCAACATCGCCAAGCTCCGCCGCTCAATCCCGCCGTCCTCCTCCGTCCGCCTCCTCGAGATCCCCTTCCGGAGCTCCGACCACGGCCTCCCTCCGGGCACCGAGAACACCGACTCCTTGCCGTACGACCTCATCCTCAAGTTCCTCATCTCCTCCCTCCGCCTCGAACCCGCTCTGTCCTCCCTCGTCGCCGACCTCGCCGCCGGCGAGGTCGGCTTCCCGCCGCCGATCTGTATCGTCACCGACATGTTCTTCTCCTGGTGCGCCGACATCGCCCACCGGTACGGGATCTTCCACGCCGTGTTCAACGCCGGCGGAGGGTACGGATTCGCCTGCTATTACTCCCTCTGGCTCAACCTCCCGCACCGCCGGAAAAACTCTGTTTCCGACGGCGGCGAAGCGGGGGGAGAAAAAGACTCTGTTTTCGAGGAGTTTGCCCTGCCAGATTTCCCCGAAGCGTCGACGCTCCATATCACTCAGCTGCCCCCGTTCCTCCAATCCGCCGATGGATCCGACCCGTTTTCCGCTTTCCAGCAAATCGTCCTCTCGAAATGGGCGAACGCCGACGCGATTCTGGTCAACACGGTGGAGGGATTCGACGGATTGGGGCTGGATTATTTCCGGAGGAAGCTGGGTAAACCGGTGTTTCCAATCGGACCGGTTCTGCTAACAAATTCCCCAACCAAAACAGAGACCGGGATGACGAATTCGCCGGAGATCTGTAAAAATTGGCTCGATTCGAAACCGGCGAGATCCGTTCTATTCGTCTCGTTCGGGTCGCAGAACACGATTGCGGAAGCACAGATGAAGGAGCTAGCAGTCGGATTGGAAGCCAGCGGGACCAATTTCATCTGGGTAATCCGCCCGCCGTTGGGATTCGACATCAATTCGGAATTCAGAGATGAAGATTGGCTGCCGGAGGGCTTCCCTGAGAGAATCGAAGCGTCGGGGAAAGGATTGTTGGTGAGGAGATGGGCACCGCAAGTGGAGATACTGGGGCACGAATCCGTGGGCGGGTTTCTGAGCCACTGCGGGTGGAACTCGGTGCTGGAATCGCTGAGCTGCGGGGTTCCGATTCTCGGGTGGCCGCTGGCGGCGGAGCAGTTCTACAACTCGAAGGTTCTGGAGGAAGAGATTGGGGTTTCTGTGGAGGTTGGGAGAGGGAAGGAAATAGTGGTTGAGAGTGGAGATTTGAAGGATAAGATTGAGATGGTTATGGTGGGTGGTGAAAAGGGGAAGGAGATTAGGAGGAGGGCTAATGAGATTAAGGAGATGATTAAGGATGCGGTTAAGGAAGATGGGGAGGGAAAGGGTTCGTCGGTGGAAGCCATGGATGAGTTCTTGAATGCTGCAGTGGTGTTCAGAGGGAGGAAGATTAATGGCGGGAAATCTGAGGCTTGATTTAGTAATTTTCTAGTGTGTTAGTCAAATAAAGAATAAGTTGGTTTCTGTGTAATTTTGCTTCATCAATTTTAGACCGTTGCGTTGATCCTTTGGATTAAACATTTTATGCGATTTTCTTAACCGTATCTTATTAGTGGGCCGGAGTTTCCCCATCATTTTCTCTCTGGCCCAACGTAAATCTGTCGAACATGGATCCAGCAACTCTTTTGGGCCTACAAGTTATGGGCCGAGCTGCTAACCCAAAGCTGATGCATCTTCTTCAAGAAGCACTAGGAACTCCTACTCTCCAACTAATCTTCTACTAATCGAATTGTACCAAAGACTAGAATAGAATATGTCAAAAACAAAGAAAATCACATCATTCTGAGAAGAAATCTGTAACTCCGACTCTATAAATACCCATCAAACTCTGAGAGAGTATCATATTAACAATTTTGTATACTCAAAAGAAATAGAATCTAACTCTGTTGTAACGGAATAGAAAATCGACAAAGCGAACACACAAATTTATGTGGTTTACTAATATGATGTGTGTTAGCTAATGTACTGGTTAGAGATACCAATTTCATTATATCTGGGGATATACAACTTACAAAAATTGAAAAAAACTTAAAAATATATATATATAACAACACCTTCTCCAGGAAACCCTCCGTAACTTCTAACCGACAACAAATAATTTATATTCAACAAATAGCAACAAACTCATCATGAATCCATAAGTTAATGAGATATTAACTTTCGTTATTCATAATAACAGTTTATAATGTATCAAAAAACAATCTTAAGAGAATCACAAATTCGCCATATAGATTCGAACACGAAACATCGAGTATTACCACCAAATTTATGTGATTTCAACTAGAAACGTTAACACCACCGGAGTGACCATAAGAACCCTTGTACCTACACAGAACCTTACACCTCAAAACCCTCCCTTGAACATAAAACCCAGGCATCACCATAACCTTAACCACCTTGCTCGAACCACCACCACCACCACCATTTCCCGCCCTTTCCCTCGACACTTCCTCCATGTACCTCGGATCAAACCTCCTTTCCTCCTCCACCCTCAAGATCCCGATCGCCGGATCGAACGAGAACGCCAGCAGGTGAAGCAGCCACACGCACTTCGCCGCCACGAAGAACGCCTGCAGCAGCTGCTCCGGCCACGGCCGCGTCCAGTTCAGCGCCACGATGATGCAGCTCATCTTCTGGTCGCAGAACTTGCTGAACTCCTCGCTGTAGTACTTCGTCCCCTTCCTCAGAACCTCGTTCCAGCTCAGGTTCCGCAGCGAGACGAAGGATTGGAACTGGGCCTGCCGATCCTGCTGCGGGTCCAGGTGCTTCGGCGCGCCGTTGCTGTGGAACGCTGAGTTCTCGAAGTCCTGGTGCATCGTGTCGTTGATTATGGATTCCAGGTGGTGGAGTATCGTCTTGGGATGGTTGGAATTGAGGGAGAGCAGGGTTTCGATCAGTGGGGAATCGGCAGTGTCGTCTTCGATTTGGGAGATTAGGGATTTGCAGAATTGTTTCACTGAGAGTCTGGATTCGGCCACCATTTGGAGGAACCCTTCCACCATTGCTTCGTCGGTCACTGGGAGAATGGATGGATGATGATTCGAGTTGTTGTTTTGTGAGTACCCATCGATTGATTTGGCTCGCCCTTTGGATCTCGTGGCGGATTTCAGAGCCTTCTTCAGCTCCTCGCAGTAGCCCTCCAGGTGTTCGATCTTTTGCCTCAGTGGGCCTAACGAAGCTCTCGTCTCCGCAACTTCTGTCAATGCTGCGTCCCTAGTTTCATTCGATTCCCTCAGCTCCCTCCTCAGATTCTCGATCGACAGGAAACCCAGTTCCCCGAATGCCTGCGAGGCCTCCTCGGACTCTGTTCTCACCGGCGAAGTAGTAGCTGCGTTCTTCGTGGGCTTCTTCCTCAGCCTCGGAAACAGCCACGACATCATTCCTTTGCTCCTCGGCTGAGACTGGACGGAAGCGTGGGAATCCGTCAATGGAACTACGATGTTGGAATGGATCTTGCTCTTTCGATTCTGAGCTTCGAAGTCTGCTATTGCGCGGGAACGGTTGTTGCAGGAGGATGACGATTTGAAGTCTGCAAAGTTTAGTCCTCTGCTTGATTTGTAGAGCTCTGCTGCTGTCGTCGTTGTTGTTACTCCGCCGCCGGGGGAACTATGGAGAACTGTGATGTTGTTGATGCAGGGTCCGGTGACGGATTTCTGATCGTCGGCGGAGTGGATCCCTTTCTCCTTCTTGAAATCAGACAAAACGGTCTCGTAGCTCATTGTCCCTCCACCTCCTTCTACGCCGCATTCGTCCCAGCTTTCTGATGCTGTTCTTGACTTGGCCGGCATCGAGTACTGACTCCCAGGAAATGGCTCATCTTCATAACTCTGTACATAAGGCGTTAAATTCGGTAAGAATAATTTCTATCTCAATAACCTTCAACTCCATTCCATAGATAAATTTAAGGCACGAACACATTAAATTATCAGGACAATTAGTACAGATTATGCAGTTAACAATTAACATAACGACAGATGTTAAAGAAAAAGTCAGAAAACTGAAGTTATATATTTAATCATTCAGCCAATGAACTCGAAAGTTCAAAACTTTTTCTCTAACTTAGAAGCAACATCTATCTAGCTACAGGGGAATGGTGAAAAAAACAAAAAAGGAACCAACTTTACTTAAACAGAACATTCAATCTATCCTGGGTTCAATTTTTGCAGCAGGAGAAGAAGACTGACCGGAGTGAAGACGGGATAATCTTGCGCGGAGAACTGTGGAAGAGGGCGGGAAGAAGCAGGGGAAGAAGAAGGAGGAGGAAGGTATCTGAGATTTGCAGCAGCAGCAGAAGAAGGGCTGCTAGTAGTAGTTGTAGTTCCTTGAGTCAAAGCGGCATGAAGAGCTCGAAGCTCCACTGCTTTAGCAATGGCGGCTTGGACTTCCTGTCTGTTGATTTCCCCTCCTCCTCCACCGCCGTTGCTGCTGCTGTGGTGGTGGTCGTCGAAGATTTGATGGATGGAAGAAAGAACGGCGGAGGCCATGAAAGGAGAAACAGAGTACTATTGGGTTGGAGCATGTAGAAGCTTGAGAAGCCGCAAGGGATAACTAGAACAACAATCCAACGGCTGTATTGGGTTTATCAAGAAATGGGTTCACAGGATTGTTTGATTGTATATAAAGGAGGTGAACAAGAGAAGAGAAGGTCTGTAATCCAATGAAGCTTTTGTTTTTTTGTTTCTTTTGTCTGTGAGTCGAATGGAGTGGAGAGGAGAGGAATGTTGGCATGTGAATCTCTCGAGTGTAGAGAAAAGAGATAGAGGAAGTAGAGATGGAGAGAGAGTTCCAACTTACAAGTTGTGGTTTCCTACCCTATGACCTATGTGGGGTGTTGGCAAAGGATGGGAGGCAAGGTTGTCAAACCGGTTTATGGCAGTGTGCCGGTTTAGCAAGTGGAATGGTTCAACTGGTGGCACATACCGGTTTGTGTCGGTTCATGCCGGTCAATATTACAAATAAAATTATAAATACTCATATTTAAACATGACATTTAACGTCAATACCTAAACATTTATACTTGAATCCAACAAATAACATCAATATTTAACTTTTATACTCATAAAATAAATAATAAAATAATTTTTATCAATTAAATTCTCTAAAATAAGGTCATTTTACTTAGAGATTCGTATATCGATTATGCCGGTCATACCGGTGATGTCACGCCAGTTTTATGACCGGTACCAGTTGAACCCGGTACAACCGATGGCACGCCGGCCGGCGTGACAACCATTATGGGAGGAGGTGTGTGTTGTTTACTTGTTTTACCAAACTGCCCATGAATTTTCAGCGGTGGAAACAGGAATTATGTCGATAAAACAAAATTATCAAGAGTTGTCAAATAGTCTTGAATTCAAATATTATCATCGCCAAATAGAATTTTAAAAAGGAATTTTGTCACAAAATTGGATCAAACTTTGTCAATTGACAAGGCATTGCCCAACCTAGGTTCGCCCCTGTTGATTTCCAAGAATAGCCAACACAAATGAGAAACTTTTTCTAGAGTCATACTAAAGAAAAATGAGAGCTTACTCTAATCTGGAATTTAGAATTTGATAGGCCATACAAGTGGTAGTGACGAAATGTTGCTTGTACTTTATTTCCTACAGAGATAACTCATTTCATTTTGAATTTCTTAATATTGCAATAATGGATTACAAGAACGATATTACAGGTGAATTTAGTATCTCAAGTATTATATTGTTTTACGGTTTATCGGAGGTTGCGAGTTAGGTAGGGCGAAAGTTTAAGAAAATAGCAAGATAGTTGTTGCAAGCAAGGTTGTCAAACTAGTTTATGTTAGTATACTGGTTTTGCAAGTGAAATGGTTCAACCGTGCTACAACCAATGCTTATGCATGTTATATCACTTTTAATAAAATACATGATGGAAATCATCGATCCAAGTAAATTAGTTAGGAAGAAGCAATTAAAATTAATTTACACAAAATAATTTATAGTTAGAAATTGATAACTAATAATACACAATTAGATACGTAAAATAAAGTATATAGAATGAATTTTGTTAATATTTACAACGATTTATGTAAAATATAACATCAATCATATAATATATAAGGTTATTACGTATATTAAAGTTTATTGTAGCATGTTCGTGTAAAGTTGAAACTAGTAAACATGATGTACATGGTTCAAATCTCATGTTGAGTGTTCATTTTTTGAGGACATGTGTGAACATACCGAAATCTAATTTCTGGTTTAATCGACATGTATTCCTGAATTTGACCAAGATTGAATATCAGCCTCTTTCAACTTATTTGATGGCCGGTACCATTTATACCCGATTGAACCGGCTGCCAAGAAGCCGATGTGACAACCATGGTTGTAAAGGAAGGAGATACACATATCTCAAGCCACACCTATGTGATAGACAAATCAAATCGTTAACTCAATCAA